TCGAAGATTTATCGTCCATGATACGATTTGAGGCTGCTTTGCTTTGAATGAAAGCGATCAAAATCCAATTATGTCGACGCGGGTTTCCCAAATCTCGGACTTATAATTATAACTATTACTTATATTTAACTTATATTATAATAATAACAACATTGTAAAGGTCGGAATCAAAAGATTGTTATTATTAAGAAAATTGTGATCTCAGTCAAAAATTTAGTCCGTTTGTTATTTGAGTAACATAAGTTTTGTAAGCTCAAAGATCGATATTTCGTTACCGGTTACCGTTTCCGAACATCATGCCCCAAAGGCTGAAGTTATTGCGAGCAATTAGTCTCCGGGAATGTTCAAACGATGCGAGTTATTTTCTCAACACCGACTTCTATCAGACTTCGTAAACTATCTTATTTACAAACGTTTCGTCTGGCTGCGATGCTTGTTTGTTTTTTCTTCGGAAAAGTATCAGATTTGTAAATCTTGTTTAGGTTTGAGTAATTTGCACATTTGATGTACCAGTTTTACTTCAAAGTGACGAATGTGCTCATCCATCTAATACGTGACCTCTACCTATAACGGACAAGGGAGTAGACAAACAGAAAGAAAGAGTGTATAGTTCTATATCTACAACAAAAATTAATGTCCAATAATAACAAAAGCGGGCTACTGATTTTTGAACTACAAGTAATTATTTTTATCAGGCAATTTGTGATTGATTTACGAGCGAGTTCACGATTGGCATATATTGTCTATGAGATTATACAACCATGTGCTCATTCTTAGTCTGCTTGGGTATATCTGAGCAAAGCATTACAACAGTTTCTCCAACGAAAACGTGAGTGAAAGCGTAATATTATTTATCTATAGTTGTTAGTGGGCGTCAATATACGCTCCCACAAGGACGAATAAATTAAAAGTAAAACAAGGCCTTCTTTCTATTATTTAGACACTTTAAAAATAGTAGCTGAGTTTCATGCTCATGCCTTTTATGGTCTAATAACAACTGTACTAGTTTCGAAAATTACGTAGTATATTTGCATTTCAAATTAATTACTTTCAAATTAAGTTTGCAAAATGTGATATTTAAGTTCTTTGAGGATGTAATTAAATGTGCAATGTATATTTGAATATTAAGAAACGTAGTGCAATCGTTGGCTCAATCTTTATGAGTACTTTTAACCTAAATTATTATTTGTAAAGAATTTTGCTTTTTTATCTTCAACAGCTTTAAGTAGCTAAACATGTAGTGACCAAAATAATTATTAGATATTTACAACATTAAAAAATAGGTAATTGATGGCATCCTTTATAATTTTTTACAATAAAAATATCTTTAATATTGCTTGAGTCATCGGATTCCGCAGCCGGTGGACTTCTATTTTTTTTATATAACATGTTTTATTTCTTTATTTTTTTTAAATAATAAATCATGTAAAATAATATAAATATAAAAATAAGAAATTAAAGACATGAGTAAATCTTTTATATTGTAAATCTCACACATCAGAAAAAACAATTCTTTACTTACAGCATTGTGAATAGATTCTTTGTTTATACCATAGTTTTCATAGGATCCAAGACTACGAGTATAATTAAGTAGTTAATACTTGTATATTTATAAGGTTACCTTTAAGGGCATTGTTTAAATAGCTATCGTATGATGTACGATGTAGGTCACACGGTCTGGCGAAGCGTTCACCACATAACAGTACCGACAGGACTGGTTTGCAAATCAGTTGACATTGGCATTCGATGGCCGACGCCTTAGTCTAACAATACCCACACAAACTACTGTAAACATTGTAAAGGGCAATACTGTGCTGTATTATCATTGCGAACGAATTAAGTCACACTACTGGCAGTTCTTTTATTAGTAATTTTTACACCCGGATATTTCCTAACCGTGGGTTTTACTGTTTTAACACTTGGACAAAACATATTGCAAGCCTTTTTTAAATGGGGAAATGCCTTACGCATACCACGCTTGCGGGGCCAAGGGTGGTTATGGCGGATTTGCCGACTAAAACCCAAGACGACTATCAACTGCGATATTACAAGTCTTAGTTAACATATAGCATATTATATGATCGAAGTAGAGCGGTATAAGTTGATACGAAAATTATTTATGTTTCTTTAACTAAATACTTTTGCATTGGTAACCAGAACAATTAAATTATTTTAAAGTCGACTCATAGCATATTCATTTGTTACCATGACGTATTGTCATGAATTTCTATGAGTGGTATAATGTTTGTATCCAATGTCCTCGACACCACGTCTGAACCCGTTTTTGCTTTTATGTATGCGTTATCGGATTATAAAAGGGACTAAGCGTCCGTGTGAATGAATAAATCAACGAATGAATGATTGAATGGATACTAATTTATTGCTTACGTGCACGTATCTCATAAATGATACATTCGTTTTAGTGAATGAATGATAGAGCCAAAGATACACAGTTGATATTTGGCTTAAAATAGTTAAAGCAGCAAAAGAAAAAGTTAATTATCTCTAGATTAGGTTCAATTCACTGGAATGCGTGCCAAGAATAATAAAACAGTTTTATTTAATTCCTATAACTGTTTATTTGTTTGATACACAATGAGGCTTGGATTGTGATGACCTTTACTGAGGTACAAACTCAAAGAACCTTATGTTTGGAAGTCAATGCCGTTTTGTAAACACGATGACACATAGCGCCGAATAACTGGTCCATAGTGTAAGATTTTATCATCATTTTATTCCTTGCTTACGTAAAATTTTAAGATATCTGTACCTATTGAATATTTAGATTGTTCACAAACGTATATGTTTAAACCTGTTTTTATTTGACGTGTTTATAAATTACAATTTTAATCTTGTAATGTTTATGAAGAATTAATGAAGCGATACGTGACAAGGATTTGATTGTTTATTGTTTGCGTCTATGCAAACCGGTGTCGTACAACTTAGTTGTGTGAATGCATCACGACCAACTTTCACCTCGTATCACTGAACTTAAGGAACAACGTTGTACTCTCGCACGCTATTGCTACGTTTTCCCTTCTGTATTGTTCCTGTACCGATGTACTACTAATCATATACGAGTGGTCTATGTGACTTTTTAATTCGTTTTTAAAAATATTGATTGTCAGTTTTTTGCGAAAGCATCGGCAGAATTTACTAATTAAATCATTTCATTAAGTTTTTATCCTTGTTTTTGTTTTTTAAATCTCATTCGTTATTCGGTGGAATCTAGAAGTGGTTGTACGATAAACAAACTAGTACAAACGATTTAACAACATTATAAGTGTGGTTATTAAAATTGTTGGCAAACATAAATTGCATTAATTCTTGTCTGAGTAATTTGAGTAGATGTTGCGTTCGCCAAGCTGCTGGTTTATTTAGGTTAATGTCTTTAACGTACTCTAATAGATTAATAATAAGATAATTAATACAGAAAAGTTTAATATAATTGAATGACAATGTTAGCAAAAAGGTTAGAAGTAGAAATTTCTTTTTAATAATTTCTTAACAATGTATATTAAGTACTAATATTTATTGAAAATAATGTTCTAATTTAAAACTATTAATATTAGATTTCGTGTTTTTGGTGAACATTGGTGTAACATTTAAAATATAAAACTACCAATATAATGTGAAATATTTTAAGTGTACAATTACTTAGAAGTGAGGCAATAGATAACTTAGCCGAATTTGGAAATGCGCCAAGTTTAAAAGAGCTTTGGTGAGGTGCAATTAAGTAAGTAGTGACAGCTTTATTATTGTTAGAATAAAATATTTCATCGAATGATATTTTTATAACTTTTAAGATAATATGTGTATAACTCTCCACGTTCGTTTTAATAATCCTACCCATTATTTTGAAATGCACAAAATATCGTTACCCAATTTAAAATAGAAATTTATTTATAGAATATTACTTACTACCGGTGAACACTTCCTTTCAAGTTTTTAACAATCTTTATTAGTTATATTTAGTCGCCCTATTTTATAACGTAAATACGCCCCTAAACATTTCGCCGGATGTGCCGCGGAGACATGCGGGTTCGGAGTACATTAAATATCGTCACAAAAGCTTGAAGACGTGCTTTATTGCTTCCATGAAATTCTATTGAATTAAGTTCATACAGTACTCGCAGACAAATCTTGAAAGTGTTTAATTTGGTACTAACAATAATCAATTTAAATAAAAACACTTTGATTAGAAATCGTCATATGACATCGTATCGAATATATAGCTTTATTGGTGCACATTTTCCGTTTTTTTCAATTCTTGTTTAACAATTCTAAAATACTCCTCTTCAGTACTTCGATAATCCTCGTCATCTACAGACTTCTTTTCCTCTCCGTGCTCTCCGCCTTCTTCAGTGATTGTCTCTCCTGCAGACTGGATCTCAGGGAGGTCATCGCGATGTTTTAAATGAATTTCTTTCAGACGCGCGTCCAAAATATGTTCTCGTCTTGTCTCACGATCGTAAATTTGATGTACAAGTTGTTTATCACGCTCATCGGGATACGTCATATTATCAGACAAATTAAGCAAAAACGTCGTTCCTCGAGTATCACCAATCGCCACCATCTGTCCTTTTCTATGAGGCGTGAGTTTAGTCAGACTGTGTTTAGAAACTTGTAACGCAGCCACAGCTTCATTAAAATTACGTAAAATATCCCAGTAATAAAAGTATCCGCCTTCACATACAGACATATAGCTAGAATGTCGTAGCGGTGTCCACGTCACATCGGTGACTTGGTTTCGGTAAGGTTTGGTGACTATTATTGGCGCCGTCCGCACCTCCTCGCTCCATATGCGAACGTTCCAATCCCCACATGTTATAAACATTCTCAGAGTACACGGACTTCTATGAATTGCGCGGACCGGTCCTGTGTGCGCCTCCCAATACGATGTCAAGATCTCTGAGTGACTCCTACCCATACGGTTCGCGTTGATAACTAGTCCAGACTCCGTTCCACACAAAAATTTAGTTGGCAACCCTCGATCAAACTGTAACGAACTTACCCCCTCAGCGTTAGACATGCTAGGAGTTTCTTTTGGCGAATATCTTACCGACATTGGCAATCTATCTATCGGTGTTGATAAATTTCTTGTATCCCACCAGAGACAGAAGCCGTCCAATGAGCCAGTAAAAAACTCAGTGTTTGTTCTTGTGTGCGTGAAAAGTAATCCAGACACTGGTCCAATGTGAGAACTGTAAATGGAACTTTTCGATATTGCGTCACGACCTTTACGGATGTCGAATATATTAACGGTGCCATTTTCAAGGCCCGCCACCAGTATATCAGATTTTACCGGGGAACATGCTAACTCCCAACAAGGATATTCTGGAAGTAATTCGACAAGAGGCGCAGTTTGTCGTTGTATATCCCATATGGAGAAATAGTTAAGTTGCTTTGATTTATTGCCTATGATTTTTTGACAGTAAGTTATAGCTAAACGGGGTGGCCGTTCGTTAGTCCATACAATGCATGAAACTGGTCTGGAATGACGATCATAAAATGCGTTAGCGATTTGTAAATTATACTTTTCGACGGGAGGCTGTGGGGTCATATCTGCAAAATACGTTTGATACATATCAATAGCATTGTTTTGATCTATGTAATGTTCTACTTGGGGATGAAGGCTGGTGACCGTGTTGACGTAACCGTCTTCATGTTGTACCCGTCGCCTGTACCTCGTTACATGATCTTCGTTGTACGGATGAACATCACGCGGCCAGCCACCTTCCGTATGATTTATGCCTTGTTCGTGAATAACCAATTCCTTTGTGTTCGCATCGTGTTCCGATTGCGGCATTGTCGCTTGCACCTCTCTGTGTACTGGGTTGCGGAGTATATACCGTCTTTGCTCTTCTTCGTTTGAATATATCGAGTCTAAGATTTGTGCGGGAACCACTTGGAATAGTGGTTGTCGTCCAAATTCTCTTCTTTTCTTTGAATATTCATAACGTGATTTCATATATTTTGACATTATTGTGTTATATCCCAATGTAATTGCAATTTTAATAAAAAGTTGACTTTTTGCAATTCAGGTAGGCAATGAAATTAAGTGTTAGCGATTTACCACATTGATAACTAAATTGCGTTGTATCCGTTCGGTGTTGTAAGTCTCAAATGATTATACTGAATTTTATTATTAATGTAATTTGGTGTTGTTAAAGATTGTGAAATTATTGTTTACATTTCCGCGGCACACGACTGCCGCATTGTTCTTGAGTTCAACAGGAAGTGTCGCAAAACATTCCAATGGTTTTGCGATTTGAAATTGACTTGTTTTTACTTATCATAATAGAAAAATGATAATCATAAGCAACTTAATTAATTAATATTAATTTCTTATTAGCACTAAAATATCGAGTCACATCAAAAAATATATTAATAAAAAATTATAATCAAACAATTAATCTTAAAAAATTACCGCTAAAAGTCAAATCCTCCAATGACAATGTAGGTACAACATAAAATATAAGATCACATATTTTCACTTCACTAAAATCGTTCACAAAAATATCAATATTTGCAAGAACGCTTCACTGCACTTTTCTTTCTGATTTATAAAAAAAAACTCGAAGTGTATACTGCGCGCGCACAGACACAACTACACCAAACGACGGATGACGCGTGACTGGCAAACGCAACTAGAAGCGGAATAAATACGGCGCGGGCGCATGTTATCGACAAGTAGAATAGGTACTAAGACTGGTTTGGTCCGTACGTGTTCTACCACTGATGTAGTGACTGATGCCTGTAGAAGGTTTTCTATTGACTGTGTACTATGTAGTAACTTTAGTATAAAAACTATCACCCTTTACGGCGAAACCTGGTTACTATCTCCCATAGAAGAAATTCCGACGACCTTGCGGTACCATCTAATTGAATCAAAAGTCTTGTTTAATAATATATTTTCTTGTGAGTCTATTTAATGTCCGGTATTTGGTTAAAATTGAAAGTACTAACAAGTTTATTCATTTAGTTTCCTTGTATTTAGGTCAATAGGACTTAGCATAAGAACAGACGGACCATGACTACATTTGTAACTTGAAGTGGGTTCAGAAGACGTAAGAACTTACATTTTTATATTAATTTAAAGAAAATGTCGAGGCTAGTTTGTAATATAGGGCGTCGGTATGGTCGTGTCACGGTTGTGTCAAGTGATCAACGAAAGTTCTAATTGGGTTTAAACATTTTGTCCACCTTTAAAATTAACGTTTATATTTTTACTGAAACACATGACCTATTTTTAGAAAAGAAAAACTGTATTTTACTAAAAAAAAACAAAGACCCATGAAAGTGACGAAAAACATTTATAGTATTTTAATCTAAAACTATGTGATTAAGTTATTTGACCCATTGGTTTAAATTCCGCAAATTTTCTAAGTAGCCTCTTTCAATAAGCATGAGTTTTCCTTTTAGCACATTCTTTCTAATAACCGCATTTCTAAGTTATTAACTTCACGCATAACGATGATAAGCAATTGAAGAAAGTAAAAAAAAAATACTCTCACGACCCCGCTTACGTTCTTGTTTCTATAACAAGTAACTAAGCTACATTATTTTTACTAAACTAGTTACTACGCAATGTTTTTTTGTGTACTTTACAAGAAAGTGACGTCATCAAACAGGCGTTACGTTATTGTGCAATATTGTTACTTCGTAGAAATAACTTTACTGTTACTACATTTTTAAATTACTTATTTGATGTGATAACGGTATAAATTAAGATTTTAGGAAACCGTTAATATATTAAGGGTTTTTTTATGAGTAGAATGGAATTAAGAAGAATAGATGAGTAGCAAAATGTCTAAGAAAACTAAAAGAACATTGCATAAATCACCTTCGTACGATGACGAATATTATTCAGAATTTAAAGGCGACTAATTGCCGACGTCACATAAATTGAAAATAGGTTGACGATGGGAGTGCAACAGTATTATATTAAAATACAAGCGTTTAATTGCGGTCAAGAGTTAAGTGGTGTAATTGTTCATTAGACGTACGATCGTCACAAACGCCGGCTGTTTGTCTTTATTACCAATTGACTTGAGACCTGGCCTCTAGACCGTGGCATTCGGATCATTAATGCCATAAGAAACATTAAAAAGTAATAACTGAAAAATTAAAATAAAACAATTACATGTACAAGGTGTAGGTGTGTACAATTTAAATTAGAATTGTGCTAGAACACCTTTTGACCATTAATGTACGTAATGACGATCAAGCTTACCCAAAAATTACACAGAATAGTATTAATTGTGATTTTCTTTTGGCGTTTCTTCTTGTTTTACAATTTATAGTGTTGGTATGTATTGACTAGTTATTATCCACATTTAACACGTTGCAGTACTACTTTATTGCAGTACGTTTATTTATTTAAATACATGTATGATTAGGCTTTACGAGGTCAACTCGAACAAGTTAGTGTCACGTTCAGAAATAAGTCGTAACTGTTCATAAAGCAAACATCGTTCACAGAAATTATTCGCGACAAACAACTAATTTGAATAATATAAGGAAAATTATAAATTTAGGACATACGTGAATACCAGAAAAATGCCTCTTTTTACTCTTATTAATGTTTTATCTGTCATTCAATTAGAGTTTAAATTGAAATTTTAAAAAATATTATAAAGTTAATGAATTAAATAGAAAAGGCGGGCAAACGAGAGAGAAGGTACATTTTATAATTCTGAGATAATTACACCATTTTGCATATAAATATTTATTTGAGATTGTAGAGCGGGCTTCGAAATATTGGGGATCCATATTAATTTAAGAACAATCATAGTCTTTTATTAAAATAGTAAATTAAAAATAATTTTAAAACACTGTATGCGTGTGATAAAATTAAATATGCTAGGCAAGTAAAATGCAAAACAATACGTTGCACGCGGCCGCGCCTGTCGTATCGTGTCATATCCACTCGTTCGTTCTGCAGAACTGAATGAATTCTTTTCACTCACAATGAACAATGGATCGTGCCAAAGAGACGAAGTAGTACGCATAATGATCCTTTGTTAAAATGAATGTCCACAACATAATTTAGAATCAATTTGAAAGTTATTTATCGTTTTATAATTTTACAATAAGCTTAACATTTGTGAGGAATTTTACTAATCAATCTACTTCATACTATCTTACTTCTTACTAATGTTTGTTAGAGTTTGTAGCCTAAACGGCTGAAAGGTTTTTGATGAAATTTGGTATAGATGTAGACAACAGTCTGGAAGAACACATAGGCTACTCACTTTTGTTATTTTTTTTTAAATTCCACACGGACGGAGTCGCGAGCGAAAGCTAGTTATTTCACTAAAACCAAAGAGGATATGTCTGTTTATAGACGACAACGAAAAGAAGAACTAAGCGTGTGTACATAAAATATGGATGTTCGCACGATACTCAATTGAGATCAATATTTTTAAGTCGAGAATACTATATTTTGTTTGTTTTGATACTTTAGTGTGTGAAAATTCTATCTGAGATAGTTAGAAAGTTAAGACATCGTCTACGTGAGGCAGACGTATCCTTGCGTTTTACAATTTTGATGAATAAATTCATCTTTTAAGCTACACTACTAACAATCAATGCTATTTGCATCCAATACTGCCATCACAAGGTATTTCGACAGTTCACAAACGGTATTAAAACATACTTCTACAACTTGAACTTGAACTCCATTATTAAACATACTCAATTTTCTATCTCAAAATATGGGATGTTTTTTACAGAGAAAAATATAAATCTTTTAATGACTTCCAACCATAAATATTCATAAAGGTAAAGTGGGATGTGGATTTAAACCGACATTTCACATTTGCTTAATGAGGTGTGTGTGAAATTCGGTTTTGCAGGATAAAAAAGAAATTGGAGCACCGGGAAAATATTCAGCCGCAGATCGTGGATTGAATATCTTTCAAATAACACTTAATGTTGAGGGTATTTCTACTACAGTAAAATTAAACTGCGAACGTAAAATGCCTAAATTTAAACTTGAGAAAAAAAACAAAGCACCGAAAAAAAAGAGGTTTGATTTCTATTTTTATCTACTACAAGTAGTAATTCAGATGTTTCTTTGTTTAAGTAAATTTACTATTTCCATCGATATCTATCTTTAATTGAATCTTGTTCTCGGAGAAATAATTCAACTAGAAAATGTCTAAATCGGGACCGTATAAATTGTGTAAGATGAGCGAATTGTTGATGTTATGTTGCAATGATGTTTAGCGTGTAATTGCATTTTTCAAGATGGTTAATTTAAAATTAGTATTGTGTGGCAACCAAAATATTATAAAGAAAAATCTAATGTGTTGTGTATAGGTTCGCTTACCTTTTTGCCACCATATATATTAAATTTGAAATACAACACTTTTTGGGGCAGCACAACATGAATTACAATTCACTCTTGGCAAATCGGCTAAGCATTCTGAATACAGAAGGTATATTAAAATGTTGTCACGCAGAAATTTAGGGATTTTAATGATTCGTGTAAAATTATATCCGCATTCGAGACACAAAGCGCTGGCTTTTTTACTGAAGGACAGTCGTATTACCCTCTTTATAACACCGCTTAAAGGATTACGTTCTTCAAGGAAAACGAATATGAATTAATTTAACTTTGATAGTATACGTTTTGTAGTTTTTATTCAAGTTTAGTTTATGCAATACATTTATGCTACGTAATTGCAGCCTGACCAGGAATATATCAGGGAGCCACAATCGTCTCCGTCAAAACATCACCTATAAGTATGGAAAGAAATTAGTTCTACATTTTTCTGCAAAATAGCGAGGTGTTTTATGTTTTTGTTCAGATTGTAATCGTAGTTATGTCTTCATTAGGAACAGGGTATACTTAAATTTAATGAAAGTAGTTGAATTGAAAACATTTGCGGCGCGGAGTGAGAGCGAAGTCTTAGCTGGGAGATTAATGCGACAAGTTTGTACGTGGACGCGCTAGTTTCTAAGAAAACGTTCAAAGTACGATAAAACTTTAGAATAGTTTCCGTTTCAACTTCAAGCTAACAACGTTAATGTTGTTTTAATAATTGAAACACGAGTAATCAACGCAAAGAAGATAGATCCTGTGGATATCTAATTTCTAAACTAACTTAAACTTGGATAACCAAGTTGAAGTTTTATAAGAGAGCTCAGAATGCTTTATATTTAAACATTGAGATTATGAACATAATTCAATTACATCATTTC